CACATTTCGAACTGCCAAGTCAGTGTCACTATCAATGTGCTAGCATAACTACAGCAGACTGGAAGGGGCGCCAAACTCGCTCGATGTCAGTGATTCACGGGGGGGGATCATTTCAGAGTTTTTGACGATTCTCTTTCTATTCTTTTCTTCACACATGAGCCACATATTTGCCATAAACATGCTGCCATTGTAAACAGAGCATTTACAAGGTAAGAATTGACCCACGATCCCAGTGGATTTGGATGTTGCAACGGTGAGGTAATAGTGCTTGCTTAATCATTGCTGAGCCACCAACTGCCCAAATTGTCTCCGTTGACGGTGATGTGAAGAGAACCTAGTACTGCTACCTAGTGCAACCACCTAATACAGAGTACAGAAGGAAACACCCAGAAGTTTATTACAAAAAACGAGGATCACAACAATGTTGGTTGAAGCAACAGCATAAATAATTATTATTTATCCTCATATTCGTGACCGGTACATAACAAATACTACTCATAATGTTGAGATAACGACGTCAAGATCTGCATTGCTGACACGTTCGAACGTTCCCACTTGGCGACCTTAAAGGTACAAATTTGGGAATTAAGCGCGACTCAGTAAGAGCCGATGGGCTCTGATAACGCCCCTGTTCACAAACAATAGCTACACTCTCCATTCTCACTACCCAAATTTAGCTTTTTTTTGCTGAGAGATCGCGCGACCAGCGCCACGGTTGACGCCGACTGCGCGAAGCGTGCAAAGCTCGCGGTCTATGACAACCACGCGCAATCGGCGCTAACCGACCGCTAGCGCTGATCGCTCGGGTCACTAAGTATGAACGCGGTTTGATAGAAAAAAATACAAAGAAAACACACGAAACAGCTGAAACCGTTCTCAATACCCGAAATACGTTTTTTCAGCTTTGAGGATTCTTCAGAAGAATGCCGCCTGCCACATACCTTTGGAGTCCTTGACTGGCTTGATAACAACAACTTCCACATTGGCGCTATTCAACTTCTCCTCCATCACCTGTTTCAAGATAGCCAACGCCACCTTTAGCGCTTCTTTCAATGTCATATTCTGGAACAAATTCCAATTATTTAGCTGATGAAAAAACAACCCAGGCGTGAGAGCTTCTTGAAAAAATGAAGGTGAACGCACATCGTGGTATTGTTCCTTCAAGCTCTGTTCTGCACCATCGCTTGCAGCACCAATCGACTAAAAACAAAACTGGTCATGTTCAAAAAATAAAAGGAATTTGAGTAAGAGTCCCGTAACTATGCAGTACACGCTTGTCTACCCACCTTGGCTTTGCAATCAATAAATGTGCCAGAAGGATCTAGATGGAAAAGCTTGGCACCATCTTGATCAACACCAGCGAATAGCATGGCAACGCGATCGTCAGAATGGGCAGACATGGAGGCCTCGAATATGGCGAATACTCGAGGGCATACTCGAGCATTAATTGGAGGGGACAGGGCTCTAATCAACCGGATGTTCACTCGCCGCGAGGATCCAGAGGTGTTTTCTCATCTCATCTGATAGAGCATTCGAAACTCTGTCAGATGAGATGAGATCAGGAAAGTGAAGGAGAGGGAAGAGAGAAGGAAGGAAGAAAAAGAAGGAAGGAGGAAGAGAACGGAAGAATTAGGGAGGTTCCGCGGTTGGCAGATATCCCGAATTCCTGTAGATAATATATAGGCAAATGCTAGCAGATTATATTTCAAAGCTACCTTCACGTCGTCATCTCCGAACTGAAGCGCGAGGTTTGCGACGGACTGTGTGACATCTTCAATGCGGATCTTCCGGTTGTAGGTGAACCAGAAGTTTTGCGCTTCAATTTGTGCTCGTTCTACCAGTGTTCGAGAGTCAGCAATCAACCCGGCGAATGTGACACCTTAATTAGGGGAATAGCTACCGCTGTATCAATCAGCCGGAAAGTAACAACGAAACGACATGCAAAAATTTTGAAAAAAACAGAACAGGTGCAAATAAAGAAGGCAGGCGTTACCAAAAGAACGGGCGATTTACCGACGGGCCACTAACGGCAGTATGAAAACCGGGGGGTGGGGTACATGGCAAGACTACTGGTGACCATGGGTGTGTGCGTGTGCATTGTGGTTGCTTCACCGCGCTGCGATCCCCCTTTTTCTTCAGGCTGCACATTCGAAGATTGAGGTGGGGACCGGACCGCCATTGATCCGCCATGTGGCTAAGAGGGTACAGCATCGTTGTGTGAAACATATGGGGGCGTACTTTTTCGCTGGGGTCGGGGGGCTCGTATTCGGTTGCTGGGAGAGAGAGCGAGGGGAGTCGTATGTGTCTTTGAGAGAAACTTGCGCCTTCGGAGAAAACTTTTACTGGTTGTTGTTTTTTCGCGTGACTCTTTCCGTTTCACATCGGCTATACACCCCCTCCCCCTTTCCTCTCCTCCCGTCGCTCAATGGAAAATCCTTGGGTGAAAAACTGGGAAATGGGGAAAACTGGTAGGTAGGTGAGGTGTTGGGGGGGGGTCGTACTGACACCACCATTCCACACATCACGATGGTGTATCCTGTAGCTTAATCCAACTTCTTTGGCTAGAATGAATCGCACTGCTCGGCACGCTACAAAAATTCGTTAGGATCTTTCCAAATACATATAAACCAGTACTTGTTTGTGTGTGCGTAAATTTGTAAGTGTGCTCGTCCAGAAGTTGGTAGTTTCGCGAAAACTTGTTTGGAGGAAGCGGATCATGTCTAGTGCGGACGGCCCAGGTTACGTTGGTAGAGAGTATATGTGAGCGCCCACAATCCACCCACAATGGGCGAGGCGTGCTTTGGTGAACAGCTTCAGCAACGAAACTTCGTAAAAGGTTTCCAGAGCAGTCCATGAACTGGGAAAAATAAGGCAAGGTCAGCAAGGGTCGGCGGATGAAACAAGAAAGAACTCTGCCATCAACATGGCGGGCACCGAATGAATAAGGCATCATGCAAAAATTCACTATTCGGTTCCAACCAAACAATATTCGGCACAGGATCCAAAGGCTGTCTCGAAGAAATTTAGGGGACAGCTCACTAGGGAGGAAGAGCGATCCAAGTGCTCGAACTCTCGAAAATTTCAGGAGAACACCCAGTGCACACGAAGAACGAGGATTGACCAACGAAGCCAACTATCCAGCTGACAATCTAAACTGTCGGAGTGAGGGCCCATTGCACACGATGAAGGTACTTTGCTTAGCCTCCCCACGACTGCAAACGCATATGGCAAACCAGGGCCCAGCCTCAAGATTACAATGAATGTTCCGATCCACAAGCTGAGTGGAGCCAAGTGACCAACGAACAACTGCTCCAGGCTTGAGGCGAAAAAACTCTTCTGCTGGGGATGCGGACTTTAACCATTTGCTCTCACAGAATGAGATTACACTTACCATTAGGCTGCGTTCACCCATAGTCACTGGTAAATCGAAAAGGGACGGAGACCCCGAAAGGACTGATATTTTTATCAAATGACTCCCCCTCGAGTTGGGCAGAATCAGTGGGTATATATTTGATATTTTAATGGATTCTTCAGTCCTTCGAATCTTCAGAAGGGTTCGTATGCTTCACTTCTCGTAGGTTCTCCAATACCCCGAGACCAAAACGCTTAAGTATCTGGTTGGGTTCCGTCCGGGATACAGCATACCGACTCCCCTTTTTTCACCTCACCCGCTCCCTATCATTCCAACACTGCTCCTCTCTACTCATCTCCATGTCCCTGGACAAAAAAAAAAACAAGATAAAAACAGCTCAACAAACAGAATTCCAATGTCCACTTGAGGCCTCTTTCAGTACTTCTTGTACAGATGAACTTTCTTTTATGAACCTCAGGTTTGTTGAGGCCGCGTTCATACTTTGCGACTTGAGCGGTCCAGTCGCTCGACTGCAACTGAGCGCTGCACGGCTGGACCGCCTCCATGTACCGAGATAGGTTCTGTCCTAACTAGTGATCACACACTAGCAGCTGGTAAATGGCCCAGCGTAAAAAGTGGTAAAAGCGGGGCGTCAACCGCAAGCCAATCTCAAATCCCGCAACATGAACAGCTCGAGTCAGCGAAGTATGAATGCAAACTAATCCATGCGGCGACAAATCTAATAAACATCCCGCCACCAAGCTAGCCTCACTTATAAAAAAAAGTTTTGAGTGATAAAATCCAAGCGCCCTCCACACTTTCACGTCAACCTATTTATCTACCATAACTATTACACTATACTCACCGACGTGTTCATCAACTTTGCTGATTTTCTCTATGGCATCATTTACCATCAGCTTAGAGGTAGATCTTTTCTCAGCAGCGAGTAAGACTCCCTCTTTAGTGCGAATTCCAATGCTAGTAGAGCCAAGCTGTAAAGGGAAGTGGAAATAGTGCTCAGCGATGAATTACAGTAGAAAATGATGACATTGAACTGCCCAGGGTCACTTTGAAGACAAACAAAAAAGGAATATTGAAAATACAAAAAGAAAAGAACCAATGTAGTTACCTTCACAGCCTCAATGGCATATTCCACCTGGAAAAGCCTTCCTTCTGGTGAGAAGGTGTTCACACCGCGATCGTACTCACTACGTGTCAAGAACATCGCTTTCTTAAAACAAATTTTTACCTCTGAAAACGAGAAAACAGTAAAGGCGCTTGCACGAGCCAGATGAGGGAGAAAACTCCCACGTTAAAAGTGTAAGGACCGAATCAAATAAGCAAAAATAACCACAACAAACTCGCTCGAAGCAAAACGATGATTCTCAAATAAGATGTCCGCAACATTGCGACTCGATTGCGGTCTTTCACTAGCCACCGTATGTCGAAATAGCGATCACTTGCAATCGTGACGTGATGGCCTATTTCTGATGGACTTCTCTTTGTCTGTGTATTATCTTGGCTTCACAAAAGTTCGTTTCTTCGAACGTAATATTGCTAAGAATAACAATTCGCTAGAATCGTACCGCTCAAATGAGGAAAATGTCATTGACCAAATCGAGACGGCTCAACTTGACGGACTTCTTCCAATGGATGCGAATGGACTTCAAAAGGTGAGTAGAAACGTAATTGTAGGTGCTTGTGGAGGAGAAAATCGGTCTATGTTCGGATAGCCAGGGTGCGTTTAATGGGGGAGTGATTTTCGTGGTGGTTTACACCATATCACCTAGATGGATTGGGCGTGGCCGCGCATTTCATTCGAATATGGCGACGGCTGCGCTTTTTGTGAAGTTACTATTTTGGTACAGCTGTAATCAAGTCTTTGTCCAGCAAAGCAGGATGATAGTTGTCTCAATTGGAAACGTCTCATAAAAAAAATCATCCAACGCCATCTTCAGAAGTAGGCGGCCATGCCCGTCCTATTTGCAGGATACGAATTGCGACATAGGTCCAGGGAATTCGGGCTTGCACCAACCTGAGACAGATCCTTTTGGGTTTTCGCGTTTCACGAATTATCATTTTTTTACTCACGTATTTTTAGGTCAACATTCGTGTTTCTAAATATGGTGCTCGAATAATTTCGGAGCCGGATTCAGAGACACTTGATCGCATTCCTCTGGTGAATATCGTCCTCTCTCTTGCCTACGACGACGGCTTTGGAAGGTATGAACAGTTTTGTTCATGGTGCACAGTCGGTTCGGATTATGATAATGTCGCACAGAGGCGCTGTTCGAAGGGGCATTTTGCACTATCGCTAGCTCCACTTTGGTTGGTTCTTAGGTACCAGGTCTTACCTTGGTGAGACCTGTAAACTGGGAAACTCTGAAGCGCTACAAGGAAGCGAGCAGTAATTTTACGGGTATTCGTAAGGCGGCCTTTACATGCTTTCTTGTGTACCATATGGTGTCCCCAGTCCCCAACAAACCGACTGCACTTACAACGGTTTTTTCAAGCTGCAGAAGGTTATTTCTGGCACAATGTACGAAATCGTACGAAATTTCTATGAGGCAGGCATTATGGTAAGTGGTGGAAGGTGCGAAAAGTTGATTGCGAGGGGATGAAGCGATCTTTGCCTGGGCTTGAGATAACTTCCTTTCCCCTAGGCTTTGGCAGACATTTCCCCCTGGGGGTTCGTAGTAAAGGGAACAATTGATTATGCTTATTTGGAACGTTTCCATTTTTGGGGTAGTGCCTACCCGTTGTCACAGTGACATTTTCTGAAAAAGACGAATTACGAGCTGATTCAGTAACTTTCAGGTACAATATTGCCATGGTAGTAAAGGCACGCCACTGCGAGCCCGAATATAAATGTCACGTCCTTCAGTGCAGTTCGATGCGAGAAGCAGATGAGTTCTTACGAAAGGTTCATCAGTTATTCGACTCCGTCATAGACACAATTGATCAAAGAGAAGTGGATCAGTGTGAATGGGTCGATGTGTAAATGTATATATAATTAGTTTATATATTTACGTATAAAGTCATCTAATTTTTATCTTCTCGTCATAGCGCGCCGAAACAGATTAACAAAAGTACCTCTCACTTATATCTAGCCATGTACTAGTTGTTTATTTCATTCACTCATCTTCTTGCATGTAGGGCCATGTGGTATAAAAGCCTTCCACCTGTGGCTCTGGCAGCTTCTGCTATAGCTTATGGCGTAGCGAACAAAGGCTCAATACTCAACACCAAAGAAGCTGAGGACAAGATGATGGAGCCACGGCCCTCATTGGAGGAGAGAAAGGCAAAGGCCAAGGGTGCCATAATCCGACAGATGGTAATAAACTACATTTAAATACTCATTCGAGTAACGAGTTTGTTATTGACTGAAAGATAGCGGGCATGTTGGCGGGGGGGGGGAGTTGCTGCTAACCTCATTGATGGGGCGGAGTTGGGGTGTGGCCAAACGTCCTCCCGCAGTTTTTCCACCAGTGACGTTGACAGCGACCGTCCGCCCCGAGCCATCGTGCCAACTGCCTTCGAAACTGCGAAACGGATTTTACCTCTCCTTCCCATGTTTGATAATTCTGTAACCTGGATAGTGGCCACGTCTCATGCATGCACAGCTACTTTCAATTCGACTTCTTTGATTCCCTTCAACAGGAGCATTGTACCACTTTGGGTTGCATTGCCGCTGTTCCATAGAGATGGTGTTGATGAACCCACCTAGGATCAGGCTTTGTGGGAGTGTGCTTTGTTTGGTTTACATGAGTGAAAGTAGATAAGGATTCGGTTAGGAGACCCATGTTGTGATGAAGGCAGCGTGACGTGCGCGGCATTCACATCACGACTCGATTGATCCAACTTGGAAGTGGGTGCAGTTCGGCTTGGTGGGGGCACCAAGCTTGATTAGGCGAACCTTGTTCATGCCACCTTGCAAACA